AAGCCCTGCCTCCATGTGACTGATACTCACATCACATGGCTATCGTTGACACCTAATTAACACTTGTTGTTAACAGGGGGTGGAGTGATACTGGCTTTTAACTTGGATTACTGAGATGCATCAGGACATTTAGCTGCTTTATTCAGCAAATGTGCTCTGTCTGCTTCTTTGTTCTAGATTCAGCTTTTTCAGCTACTTTTCTGCTATTTTCAGCTRTTTTGACTATTTTACAAATTGCAAATTTTTGTACATCTTGTATTTTCTACTGAAATCTATCAGTATTAMGCATTCATGCTTAATGCTTGCATTTTCTCATAATATACAAATTTTCTAGTTCTAATTAATATGAAATGAATGTTGAGTTATAGCGTAGTATACAGTTGTTTCATCTGCAWAGCCTACAAGTAATTTCTACTCTCATAGACTTTATTTGCATGCTTTTAAAATGTACTATGTTTTGTTCTCTTATTTCCTTTCCCCCTGTATCTTTAAAATCCAGTCCCAGCTGAGCGCAGAGCAGAAAATTGGCGCCCTGCCTTCTGTGCCTTCGCTACTCGAGGTTTTCGGCTTCTCCTACTTTTACGGCGGCTTCCTGGTGGGTCCCCAGTTCACGCTGCGCAGCTACCAGAGGCTGGTGGGCAGGGAGCTCACAGACTGCCCTGGAAAGCCTCCAAACAGGTGAAATTAAAAAAAAAAAACATGAGTGACAAAGAGAAAAATGAGTTCAGACACAATCTTAATTAGATCTGTGTTTAAAAAAGACAAAGTGACCTTCCAGTGTCTCGGACCTTCCAGTTAACATTTCTCTTCTTTCATTCTTTATCTTTTCATTTCTGTTTCAGTCTTCTCCCAGCCATGAAGAGGTTCTCTCTGGGTTTTCTCTGCCTGGCGATATATGCAATATTTAGTCCTTCTTACCCAGACAGCTACTATTTAACAGATGAGTATGAGGTGCGAATAAGAACACGATGTGAAAATAATCTCTGCCAGCCTGTCGACGAGACTGAGGAGTTTTAATTTGTATTTATTTGTTCTAAAAAAGGCTAACTGTTCCCCTCTCTGCAGGCTCAACCCTTCTGGTATCGCTGTGTCTTTATTCTGCTTTGGGGAAAAGTTATTTTGTATAAATATGTCAGCTGTTGGGTTATAGCCGTAAGTAGACACTTGTTTTATTATTTGCTTAAAAGGCCTAACGTTCATTGACAGAATGGACATTGACGCCTTTTATTTCAGAATTGGACTAAGACAATTTTGTGTAGAGAAATGATGGAGCTGCTTTAGTTTAAAAACAAAAATTCATTCCACTCTGATGTCAGATTTCATGCTCAGAGGATGTGTTGAGGATGACTCTCAGCTAATACTACCCAGGAAATTATAGCTTTGTATCTATAATGGAGTTATGAGCAGCGGCGGCCATCTTGAATAGAATTGACTCCTAAAGTTAATCAGTTGTAGACGTTGATCCAGTTTGTTCAGTGGTTCATGAGTTGTTTTGGTAATACATATACACATACACACAACACCCCCACCCCACACACATACACACATACAGACAGACAGACAGACAGACATGGGCAAAAACAATATTGTCGACCTTTGCCTTTCAGCTGCAGGCGATAATAAATGCTAATAACTTTCTGTAGCATTAACTGAATAACTACAAAAGCTTTGAACAGCTTTGAGGAAAAGAAAATGGTACAGAAACTGCAGTGTTCAGTAAATACTGGTAAAAAGGTGGGTGTAATTTACAAATTAACTACAAGACAATCACCAAAAAGTTTGAAATATTTTTAAATTTGGTTGGATGAGAATAAAGTTCTACTCCCATGAAGCTAAAGATAYCTGCAGGACGTAATGCTGAGGAGGAACTCGAAAAGAAAAATCTCAGAAAATTGGTGCAGAAAGTAAAAAGAGACTAGAAAGCTTCAGGCTTGACCTGCAGGAAATATTGGACTTGGCTTCAGCTCAAATAATATGCTTCAGTCTAAACCAAGAAGTRCCAAAGGTCAAAGATGACTCCACTTCTGAAAGAAAGACAAAGCAAAAAGAGTAAAGTTTTTGAAAACTTTTTTTTTTTTAGATTATTGTAAAAATACTTTATTTTTTCGACTGAAGAAACCAACGTTCAGGTCTTTGAGAAACAGCTTTTGTGCCAAAAAACTAACTGTTTTGCAATGAAACATTGTGGAGGAACAATCCTACTTTTAGGATGCTGTATCTTTTTTAGAGTGAAATGTGTTACATGTTAACAGCCTTAAATCTTTGAGCACATAATTGTGGAATATTAACAGAGCAGAAAACTGCTTCAACTAGATGGATGTTTAGTGATTTTGTCATAGATTCAATAAATATACCTACTTTATATTGTACTGTGGGGGAAAAACATTTTTTTATTTTATGTTTATTTTTAGTTTAAAAATAATGATTTATACAAAAGTGTTCAATTTCTGAAAATGAAATTATCACATTAAAATAATTTGGATAAGAAACACTCAGCTGCGTGATTTTTAGAAATGAATTTCTCCGAAACGTGTACAGTAAAGAACAGAATAGGTCATCCTTAAGAAACTAAGATGTTTTTATCCCTCAAAACATTTGKCTCACGAGGGTGCCAACCTCAGTCAGAGGCTGAAAGCTGTGTCAGAGGAAAGGACAGGTTGACCTGACATCATGGTGCAATCAGACACTTTTCTACACAACACTTCTGCACAGAATCCATGTGCTCTTAACACTTAACTGCTTCTCTCTTTCATACACATGATGTGCTTCAAAAAACATGAAACTAGTTCTTGTTTATGSAATAATTGGAATGTGGATGGTGATATCTTTGCTTTTGTATGTTACCAACCTGTCTGATGAATTTTAATGGAACTCCATTGAACGTACGTAACTTTTGGAGTCTGTCCGATTCAAGATGGCCGCCACAGACAACTGATTTTAGGAAATGCAAAAACCTTTCTAGCTCTGTCATTTATTGGCTGAGCATTAACCCCAACTMAGATTCTAAGGACTAAAACTTTGGAGTTAACTATTATTGTCATCCCTGTTAGCAAAATATCTCATGAACCACTGGACAGTCGATCAGTAGCTGTACATCTAAAACTCARTAACATTTAGAGTCAACTCGAATTAGGATGGCCGCCACCTTTAGTCAGTTTAAAAATTTCTATAACAAAGTCAGATGTGCAGAAATGAAGCTAAAGTTAGGTGTGGCAGTAGCTGAGAGTCATCCTTAACACTTACTTTGAGCACTATGATAATRTAATGTGTGAGGTTTGACCTGAAAACCCTGTACCTTCTCAGCATAAGATGATTTTATTCTTTATGAAAGCAGCGGCTGATGTGCATGATTTCATTAATATGTGAATATTTGGAATCTTCTGTAACTTTTATTCTTCAAATTTCTTTTCTTTTTTTTAAGTCAAGTCTTTTCTGTCAATTTCAGTGTTTTTTTTWAACCTACTTTGTGTGTTTTTGTTTCTCCTACATGAATAAAACCCCCTGTGTTTTCCTTACAGGAGGGTGTATGTATATTGACTGGGCTGGGGTACAATGGAGTCGTGGACGGTAAGCACCAGTGGGACGCCTGCGCCAACATGAAGGTGTGGCTCTTTGAGACAACGCCACTTTTTGGAGGAACAATCGCCTCTTTCAACATCAACACGAACGCCTGGGCTGCTCGGTCAGTGTCCAGTCAAATCTGTGGTGTTCCTCCGCTCGCAGTCAGAGCAGAGCTGTAAAAGTTAAACATTCACTGAGATAACTGGTTAGCAAAAGGGAAAGACTTTATTCAGTGATGCATTGCAGTCCTTCACAGCAGAAACCTTCATCTATACTTTGCTTTAACATTAGAAAGGATTAAGTTGGACACACTGGGAGTGTTTGAAAAGTAATCGCTGAGAGTTTTCTGGCTGAATCTTCACACTTGAGATCTTTTCAGAAACGTGACTCAGTTTGATGAAGATCATGGTGAACAAAGCAATTTATTTATCAAGCTCACAGTTTATTACATGGTCCATTTCCGTTGAATGCATTAACGATTTGTGCTTACTCCTTCACTTTCCACTCCTCAAACTGCTTCAGATGCAGAAAGCAGAGGAGGAGGAGGAGGTTGGCTCTGAAACAGAAATGAAAATTGGCTGTTTTAAATGTAATTGATACAGTCATTAAACTCTGCACTGATGACTGGGATTATACTGTACAACTTTCATGTCTTTTAGTAAATGCAATACAGACTCTGACACATGGAGGATCTAATTATTTAACCTACAATAGAACGCCTAATAATAGTTGCACCACTTTAGGAGGTCACAACACATGTTCAGGCAGTTCCYGGAGAACTGGTTTTCATTTAACTGGATCAGGAAATGACTTGTTAGATTGTATTGATAGTATTGATCGTAGCTTCTCAGAAGTAAAGGTTTGTTATATTTCAAAGTAACATAAACAAACATGGATACATTTGTTGGTAGCCTTCCAGAAATGTTTTACTGAGGCGGTCACTTGGGGGCCACAGGTCATTAGACAGTTTCTTTTAAGAAATTCACTTTTTGCAAGAAATTAAACATTTGTTTCAGTGAGCTGTAACAAATCAGCTTTTGTTTATACAAAATATCGAATTAGTAAAAAAAAAAGCTGCATCAAAATTTAACAAAATCTTTAACTGACTTCGAAAACAACAAAATAAAATGCTAATTAGTCTGTGTTTTTAGTAAATTACTTGTACATAAATATTAAGAGCTGAGTTTGCAGTATACATAAGATAATTCTTTAATTTTAAAGTGATAAAAAAGAAAAAGATTATATGCATTAAACATAAAAAGTCAGTAGAACTTAAAAGGAAACGATGTGTGAATTTTTTTCTTTTATTCATTTGAAGAAGGCTACAGTTTTCCTTTTCAGAGACTCCTCCCAGACCTTGAGCTTATTGATTAATAATAAAAAGAAAAAAATCTTAATTATATTTATAAAATCTCTCACATCATTAGTTATCTTTTATAAATCAAGTTCCAGCTGGAAATGTGCTCACGAGGGCCGCCACCTATAATTTGTCCCTCTAAATGCACAAATTGAAGTATAAATGGTGAAAAGAAAGCAGCTCTTTGAATGTCAGTGAACTGGAATGAGTCYGATGAGCAGCTGGGTCTTTACTGTAAATCATGGCAACAATTAGAAAAGGGACAGAAARTAAATGTTTCTGACGCAGATGTGGGAGTGTTTATGGGTCAATCAATTTCTGTGGTGATGGACTGTAGGTTCCTCTAAATTCTCCACCTATTTTGTCAGTCCTCTGGCAGTCAGTGTGTTAATTTTACAGTATTTTGTATAAATGCTGTCATATTATTATTATTATTATTATTATTATCCTGTTGNTATTATTATTATTATTATTATTATCCTGTTGTGAAGAATCATTTTGAAAGAAAATTAATTGGATATCCAAATTTATCTTTGACAATACTTTCAGTTTAATATTAATTTTGTGTAATGTTACAACCCGCAGATCCGGAGCTGATATGACACCACAGGGAGAGGCAGGGCTTGTTTGTTCTCAAACTATTAGACATTTTAACACTAAAACTGAATATTTCCATAAGAATATAAAGTTGTTGAGTTGTGCCAGTGCGACTCTGTTGCTATGCAACAACAACTCGCAGGTACTTTGGTGCACGCCACTGTGAGAGCTGATCCATTAAGCGTTTCTGACGGCTTTATCCAGATTCATGGCCATAAAGAGATTTATTACTCTGACTTTTCCTTTTGTTTACAGACATGTATTCAAGCGGCTGAAGTTTCTGGGCAATAAGACCTTGTCTCATGTGGCGACGCTGCTCTTTCTGACCATTTGGCACGGCCTTCACTCTGGCTACATCTTGTGCTTTTCCATGGAGTTCTTCATCATCACTGTGGAGAGACAGGTAGGATTTAGTTGCAAAACAAAATGTCAGCATTGAAAAAAGTAATTAAATACAAAAAGCTGAAACCTTCAGTCTGTTTGTTGTTTTGTCTGAAGCTTCCCATGTTTTTGATGGAAGCATAAAAGCAGTTGATGAACTTTAATTTTAATAACTTTACTAATAGCACCTCACTGCGGGTATTACTTAGAAATTAAATAAAAGTTATGTTTTATTAAATTAAAATCTAATACTAAGATGATGACAGGGTATGGAGTTATAAATGTTTTGGTCAAACCTTGAAAATAACATGTGGGATCTCCTGTGATATGATGTCACGCTAGACCAAAAAACAGCCCGGGCATTTTTTTGGTCCTGGTGGCCCACCATCATTATTTATATAATATGCAAATGGACACGACATACCAGAGGATGTGTTTCATGTTGTGYTTCACAAGTTAAAGTGCAGCAGCCTACAAGGAAGAGAGTAACCATGTTAAAAACCTGATGAGCTCTTCTTCCACTCAGAGACTTTAATGTTCATGAGGTTCTGATACCAGTGGATCACCACAGAGACTACTGTAGAGAACAGATCAGGCCACTGCTAAACTTAAAGTTTTCAGAGTCACAAAGAAGGATTTCTTTAGATCTGGTTAGGTCACCATGGTAAGAGAGACTGAACGCAGTTACTGTCAGTCTCTTTCTTTACCTGGTGAGACTAAAAATATTACAATGTGACTGAAACAGTATTTATGTGTCATCATAGTTCTACCTGCTGCTGTAAGATTTTAAACTAACAGATCATCAAATGACACTAAACTAAAACTTCCACCTTCCTAAAAGTCAAATGTAGAGCTCTGATTCACATTTAAAGGTTTCATTTTTAAATTTTATATACTACAGTGTTTATTTAGGGTTTTATAGCCTATTTTATTTAACATTTAGTATAATAAACAAAACCCATGGATTCTAATTTCAGGTAAAATTATTTCATTTGACCCAAACCTATTTATTTATTTCTTATTTTTCAGCATAAAAAATATAAAAATCTGCTGTAAAACATGAACACACTCACAGACCAACTTTTTTCAGATTTTACCTTCAGAAGCTGCAGTTATGTTTCAGTAAAAAACAAAAGTGTTCATTTTAGTAAACATCAGAACCATAAATGAACCTGAACAACTGAACCACATTTATACAGCTGCTGATTCAATCGGACTGTTAATAAAAATATTCATGTTCAAACCGTTCAACAAGCTGATCATTTCAAACAGAACTTGGACACCATGGAGAGAATAATTAGCTGATATATGGATCTACCTACTGACAGAGATACACTGTTTGTTACTAGTTTTCACAAACAAAGCCTTAATTAAACCATTCACACTATTTTTTTATATGCAGAACAATGATACAATATGTTTTTTTTACTCACCAGGTGAGGCTGTGCAGGTAGAGAAGCTCCAGTTAGCAGCAGCTTGAAGCAAGAGTCTCTTAAACGTGTCCAGAAGGTCCAGGAGTTTATACTATTATTTTTAATTCAGCTTGAATGGTGCAGGTTTAGCTATAGCTGACGAGCCGGCCCGGGACATGTCCGCTCGCACCCAAACCCCCCCCACCGGTTTTATTTAACATATACAGTATACGGCCGGTCGTTTAGATATTTTTGTGGCTTRTTGAGGGAAATATGTTGCTCATTTTTGCACATTTTGCTGAGTCCACTTGGGGACCTTTCTGCATATTTCCCCCAGTTTCTCGACAAGCTTWGTCCACAGCTTCCTACTTTCCACCTCCGGACAGGCAGCAGCTTCTGGCAGGATTTATAACTTTGGTTGAAAAGGGGAGGGTCTTGCCGGGCCGGCCGAGGAGTGCTGAGAGATTTCATTGGCTTATCTCAATGACGATCATGAAAATCAACAAATGGGCCGTTGCGATGGAAAAACTTGTTTATAATATATTTTTTTGGTTTCTGACAGACCCGGGCCTGCCCATAAATGAGCGTCGGCCCACTGTGCATTGCCCGGTACGCCAGATGGTCAGTCCAGCCCTGGTGCCCAGTCCTGGTCCTCAATGTCCACTGTCTTGCATGTTTTAGTTGTACTTCTGCTCTTCAGCAGGTCTTCATGCTCTGCAGAAGCCTGTTAATCACTCATTTATTCAAATATGTGTCAAAGCAGAGAAAAGTCTCAAAGAAAACTTTATTTAAAAATAATCTTTAGACTAGAGGAAACATCTCAAATTCGAGATGTTTCTTTGCTTTGACACACTTCATTTTAATGAATGAGTAACAAGCTTCTGCAGAACTTGAAGGCATGATGGGGAAATAACTAAAGCATGCTTTGATCAGGGGGTGTCAAATTTAGGTCCTCAAGGGCCGCTATCATGCATGTTTTCCTCACACCTGATTCAGTGAATCAATTACCTCTTCAAATTCTGTAGAAGCCTGTTAATCATCCATTCATTTAAATCAGGTGTGTTTGAGCAGGGAAACATGAAAACACGCTGGATAACAGTCCCTCAAGGACTGGAGTTTGACACCGGGCCCTAAAGGACCAAGACTGAGGGTCAGAGGTCCTCAGTCCTGTTCCTCATGACCCACTATCCTGCATGTTGTAGTTGTGTACCTGCTTCAACACACCTGACTGAAATGAATGATTGATTGACAGGCTTCTGATAAACTTGATGACATTCTAAGTAGGTAATTGAATTATTTGAAGCAGGTGTGTCGAAGCAAGGAAACTGCTTAAACATGCAGGACAGTGAGTCGTGAAGAACAGGGCTGAAGACCTCTGTGCTGGAGTACCTGTTACTAACTCTCAGCTACTACCACATCAAATTTCATCTCAATATCTGTAAAACAGGCTGAGTCGCAGCCATTTTTGTTTGCAAATGGCCACTGGTTTATACACATATTTTAAAGAAAATGGAAAAATCATGATTTCAAGCTTGTGTTTGTTTCTAGATTAGGTTTGTTTAACTTTGCTCTCTTTTAAATGTCAACATAATATTTGATGATTTTTGTGTAAATGGTGTTATTTGTTTGTGTTACAAGTCTCTCTTGTATCGATAAGATTAAAAGTAAATAAATAAAATTAGATATTACGCTCCAAATAGTTACTGGCAAGATCTTAAAGCTCTTTCTTACTTTGTTGGAGCTCAGAATCTGTCGGTTCTGCTGCATTTTTTAAACTACCGTTTATGTATTCTGTGCATGTGTCTGTGTGACAGGTCCAGGCTCTGGTCCGGGACAGTCCTCTGCTGACAAAACTGGCCAACAGCCATCTCTACCCCCTCATWTATGTAGTTCAGCAGTTTATCCACTGGCTCTTCATGGGCTATCCTCTGGTGCCATTCTGCCTCTTCGCCTATGACAAATGGCTCAAGGTAAACACACAAATCTCCTGAAACCACACCAGTCAGAAGACCTTTTTTTGTCTTTTCACTTTTTTTATTATTCAGACAGTTTTGGGAACTGTTAAGAGTCCCAATTGCAAAATGGTAATTTAAATTCATAAGTGCACCGTAAATAAGAACAAAAAGGGTTCAGGTTGTATTTCAAGGAATTTATTACATGCAGTCTCATTTTTCACTTAACAGCAGATAAAGCAACGCCTCACACAATCTTAATTCTTAGTTTGTTCTTACGACCACTAAAAGCTAGGTTCTGAGGCTCCAGGTAACCTTTTAGGGTTGCAGCATTGCCAGAACCCAGCTCAGGGGGTTTTCTATCCTGAGGCTTTTGCATTAAAGTAGTGTAAGTAATCTGCTTACAACAATTAGATTAGGCCACGCTTAGCTTTCCTCTGTGGTGTAGCAATGTTTTGCAGCAATAATTAAGCAATGCTGAACAGTATTTGCCAGAGGATCCTGCATTTATAATTTTTTTAAGTCAGAGCCCATGCTGTGCCAAAAGGTTATTCATTGGAAAGAAAATTGCTGCTGTTCCACAGAACTCTTTCTGGGTATTTCTTTTGGAAAGTTAGGGAAAACAGTGTTATTAAAAGGCATATTGGACCGTGAAGGGACATTTTCTAAGCAGGGGTCTCTGCATTACATAGGGGGAGTGTCTTTGTGTGTGAGCAGAGTTTGTCCAAACTCAGATTGGCAGAGTTTTGAACATAGAYGGAAGTTCTTTATTGATTTTAAAATTTGGTGCAACCAGCGCCTTTCTGTCTTGAGTTATGATAAATGTCAATATTCACACTCATCTCAACCAATCATGTTTTTAAGAAACTCCTCCTACATAAGTCAAACAGACCAATCATGTTTTGACAAACTGCTCCCTCACGCCTAGAAATGCCCACTTATTGACTGCAGCAACTCACATTTTTTGATGTTTCGTATACATAGACAAACATACCTGATGGAATTATTTATATTTTTTGTTTTTCAGGTGTATTCTTCCGTCTATTTCTGCGGTCATGTGTTCTTCCTCGTGGCATATTTAATCATGCCGTTCCTCCGWAAGACTCTGGTTCCCAAGAAGGACCGGAGCGAGAAAAAGCATGACTAAAACTCCGTTTTTAAAAACCTGACATGGTATGTAGGCACATTTCAGTCTCCTCCTCCTTCTCCTCCTTCCTGCTGCTGACGTCAAGCCAGAGACGAACGACGGCTTCAGAGGTCTGTTTTCTTTCAGGTTCGTCTGAGACTCAATATCCTCTGAAGAGAACTGTGATGTTCAAGGAACAGAGCACAAACTGTTTTAAGGCCTTTAGTAATATATAAATATATGAATATATGTTCATGTAAAAAAAATATATATATATATTTTTGTGTTTTTAAGTGGGAGGGGTGGTTTTATAAACATTTGAAGAAATGTTTACAGGACATTACCATTGTGCCGCACGGGTTAATTGTGAGCCAACTTGGGACAATTTTCTTCTGAGTGATCATTATCACTTTTTCTTTTTTCTTTTTTTTTTTTTAAGTTGGGGATACGAGGGACTTGAGAGACTTACATGCTGTCGACATGAGATTGCACTTATGAGTCACAGGTTCTGAGTCTGTTTTTGGATCTAGTGTTTTGTTGTTTCATTGTTCTGGTCCCACGTCTGACACCCACATTCAGCAGCAACACTAAGCCTGAACAAGAGGTTTAAGCACAGTGCCAGCATATAAGACACTTCCTGATATGTCATAATACAACGTGCACACTTCTTTTTTTTTCTTTCTCCTGCMGAACGAYTTAAACAATATGAAGTCAGGGTCTTGTTTTCTTTGTAAACGGCTGCTAGTGGTTATACAAGCACTGTAAATCACACACTGTACACTAACACCYGACTCAAAATGGCCTTGAATTAATGAATGTTTTTACCGTTCATTTCTTCTAGATTTAATTCCTTTCTCTTTTTTTTACACAACAAAGGACTTGATTTTTTACAAAGTTTTAACAGCTTTTTGAATAAGAACATTTTGTAATTTTTGAATAAGATCTCATGAAACAAATTTACATTGTTCTCCTGCCTTTCCTAATTGACGTTGCTATTTTGTTTTTGATTGTTTGCTCTTGCCACATCGTCCTCTGTCTGTACCACTTCTATGTTCGTTTGTCTGGATTCAAGTCTGATTTTCTCTCAGAAATGCACAAATGTGAAAGTGAAACATGCAGATCTGTTTTTGTAGGCCATAGGCTAATTCTTTGACTTGAGAAATTGTCTCATTTGAAACAAAAGTTGGTTTGATCGTCTGTTTTAAACAGTAGATCATAAAAAAAAAAAAAACAAATAATGAGCTGTTTGCATTATATCTCATATGATGTAGATATTTTGAGGCCATCCTTTCACACCCTTGAGGAGGACAAACCACACTGTAGCAGTGGTCCAGATTTCTGTCATATTTATGACATTGTGATTATTATTAATTGATGACTTGCTATTTCCGGAGATTACTTTTATCCTCTAACCCCTTAGCAAATGTACAAAAGAAAATGTGGGAGACGGGGATGATTTTCAAATACAGTTTTGCAATTTTCATTAAAATGCTGGATTTCAAATATGYTGTTGTGTTTTGTGTCCACTGTTTTTATATGAGGGGGTGACTGACATGACGTCATCTTGTTGAAAGAACCGAGTCGCAGCAGCAGTGTGAAATATGTGGAAATTAATTTAAAAAGGGAGGAGGAAAAGAAGGATGAAGAGGAGGGTGCCAGTCAATAAGCAAACCCTGAGCTGACRGCTAACGTGATGAGATGAAGTGCTGTGTCGGAGTCAGAAACAGCCAGAGCAGCAGTCTGCTGGAGGGGGACTGAGAGCGAAGAAGGACGCAGTGTGGGCGGGATAAGGAACGCCGAGAGGGAGGGGACGTCAGCGTAATATTCCCATCGTTTTTTCTTTTCTTTTTTTCCCCCCTTGTTCCACATTACACCTCCTTCCTGACTCTACTAACCCCCGGCTGCGCGTCATTTTTTCGGGCTTCAGGAGCAGAGCCTCCCTTCTTCTTCTTCTTCTTCACCTGGAGGTTTTGGAGCTCAGCCCTCCGGGGTTTGCCGAGCCGAGCGGCAGGGGCGTGAGAGGCGGATGCTGCGAGTGTAGAAGCAGGTACCAACAACCGGGAGCATCACCGCGCTCAGCACACGGTAATGTCACATTAAAACCTCCCAATTTCTGCGACATTTTCCTTCCCCGGACTCCACCAGTGGGTCTAATTCTTCTGTAAAATTATTATTTTTTTGCTTCATTTAGCCACGAAGTGCGTTATGTAGCGYGTGTCGTTACTAGCTTGTGAGGAAAATCGGCTACAAATTGTCGCATAGCATGTTTGTACTTCTGAACCTGAGTGTTTTTAGCCTGGACAGTCTGCACAGATGGACTCACACGCTGTGTGTAATTTTCTATTTTTGACTGAATATTCCGTGATTGCTGTCATGTCAGCTGTTTTAAAAAGTGGGTTTAAAAAAAAACAAGAAAATAAGGAGGATGGTGACATAAAAACCCAGTCATGGGTTAATCATGGTAAAACACCCGCACATGTTACTCACACACACTGGTGAGCAGGTATGCTCCACAGGCTATTCTGGGCAAGCATGTCTAGGTTCAATGCTTCATGGATTACTGGTTCAGTCATGCAACTCTGAGTCTAGTTTTGCAGTCCTCCAGAGGTTACATCCATGGCACTTTATTTATTTGGTGGTTTTCTTTGCACAAGCACTGCAATGAATATAAAACCCTCTGTGCAGCATCTCTGTTCTGCCTGATCTGCTTCTGTCTTGTTACTGTACTCTCCTCCACTGCTGATCAGTTGTTGATGCATGAACTGTATCCCCCCCCCCCTCTCTTTCCTTACCCCACCCTGTAACCTCCCATCCTCTGTTTTCTTTCCTTTCCTCCCTCAGATGGACAGAATGAATTTTCTCTCCTTCCTCCTCCTTTGCTTGACTTCGGTTGCCAATGGCAACAAAGGTCAGTTCCTCATCCTTTTTTTGACTGGTAAATGTGAAGTATTGAGATGATGGTTTACATTGCCATAGGAACACGCGGACCCCGTCAGGATTTTCAGGTGCAGCCGTTGGCTGTTTTTGCTCAAGCAATGAACCAGATGACTTCATTGTTATTCCTGTGCCATAAAGCCTGAATTCCTCATGCATAAACAGTGCATTCAGACCTACATACATAAACATTTTCCTGCTCATAACCCTATGTGCATGTGCCCTTTTCACCCTTTGTTTGACTCTGGAAGAACTGATCCCTTTCCCCCCTGTCTTTGGCAGATTTGTTATTGTGATTATTTTTCATGGTGATCATGCTGAGAGAATGAAACGAGAACAGTGGAGGGAGAGTGTGTCAGGAGAAGAGGACGACACGAGGTTTGAAGTAGATGGAAGAAGAGGGAAATGAGAGGAGTAAGTGGAGATGGGGCCGTGACAGGAGAGGACATGCTGAAAGAAAAAAAAAAACGCAGAATGATAAGGAGGGAGAGAGGAATGTGAGATCAGGTGACACGAGGGAGAAAAGAAAAAGAGAAAAGTGTGAGATGCTGGGCCTTTTTGTGTTCATACAATATGTGCGTGTCAGTGTGAAGGGTCCAGATGAGGAGGGGTGGACGGGTGGGAGAGCTGGGGAGTGACAAAGAGGAGCTGTGCCAGGGGGGACAGACAGAGATGGAACGAGATGCCTCTCAATCTGTAATCCCAAATGTAATCCACAGGCCTGATGCTCAGATTAATGCTACACAGAAGCAAGGCGGGAAGGGGGAGGACAGAGGGCACGAGATAAATGACCAAAAAAGAAACACAGAAGAAGACCGTGGAAACAGAGGAGGTGGATGAATGTCTGTGGTTACAGCTGGATGCTTAACCTCTCTAATTCTCCATGATAGATAAAAATATGTCTGAATCAAAGAGTGTTAAAAATGGTCGGGAATGGAGGGATCAGTTTGTAGTTTAAAGGTAAAGTTTTTCATTGTTGGACAAAGAACAGATCTTGTTCTTTTGTTTCTGTAACTAATGATTATTTAAATATGGCAAATATTTTTAAATACAGACATGTTATTTATTTTTTCAGTTGAAACTTTTAAAATCCAAAACCAGATTATCTACTGTTCAATAGAAATTGGCTTTTTAAAATTACTATTATTATTATTATTATTATTATCCTGTTGTGAAGAATCATTTTGAAAGAAAATTAATTGGATATCCAAATTTATCTTTGACAATACTTTCAGTTTAATATTAATTTTGTGTAATGTTACAACCCGCAGATCCGGAGCTGATATGACACCACAGGGAGAGGCAGGGCTTGTTTGTTCTCAAACTATTAGACATTTTAACACTAAAACTGAATATTTCCATAAGAATATAAAGTTGTTGAGTTGTGCCAGTGCGACTCTGTTGCTATGCAACAACAACTCGCAGGTACTTTGGTGCACGCCACTGTGAGAGCTGATCCATTAAGCGTTTCTGACGGCTTTATCCAGATTCATGGCCATAAAGAGATTTATTACTCTGACTTTTCCTTTTGTTTACAGACATGTATTCAAGCGGCTGAAGTTTCTGGGCAATAAGACCTTGTCTCATGTGGCGACGCTGCTCTTTCTGACCATTTGGCACGGCCTTCACTCTGGCTACATCTTGTGCTTTTCCATGGAGTTCTTCATCATCACTGTGGAGAGACAGGTAGGATTTAGTTGCAAAACAAAATGTCAGCATTGAAAAAAGTAATTAAATACAAAAAGCTGAAACCTTCAGTCTGTTTGTTGTTTTGTCTGAAGCTTCCCATGTTTTTGATGGAAGCATAAAAGCAGTTGATGAACTTTAATTTTAATAACTTTACTAATAGCACCTCACTGCGGGTATTACTTAGAAATTAAATAAAAGTTATGTTTTATTAAATTAAAATCTAATACTAAGATGATGACAGGGTATGGAGTTATAAATGTTTTGGTCAAACCTTGAAAATAACATGTGGGATCTCCTGTGATATGATGTCACGCTAGACCAAAAAACAGCCCGGGCATTTTTTTGGTCCTGGTGGCCCACCATCATTATTTATATAATATGCAAATGGACACGACATACCAGAGGATGTGTTTCATGTTGTGNTAATAATGTACTCAGTAAAGGTCAGAACTCTGAACATATTTATTTATTGTCAGCAAACATATTGTCCCAGTTTTTAAAAGAAGACACATAATAAACAGAGTTTGAAGTAACTATAGATGCTGAAATACAATATTAAATTTCTCTACAGATTTTAGAGTAGAAGCTGCGTGTGATGGATAGACAGATATCTTCTATCAGTGACAGAAACATCTTTAAATTCAGCAGCATTGGAAGTGAAAAGCTGTGATGCTTTAAGCTTAAAAAATGTCACCCAGCTCCACATTTGAGCTGAAAAAAGTCTGATCAGATTTAGAACCAGCAGCGTTTCTCCTCTGTTGACTCTCCTCTCACAAAGAATTAGTTCCACTCAGATTTTCTAGAAAATTCACTGCGATTGCCAAACAAACAAACAAACAAAAAAAAAGAGGAATTCTTGCGCTCCTGTCTGATTTCAAACTCTGCAGCTTCTTGCGTTAAGAGATTGGAGACACCAGAGGGAGGGAGCACAACGCTGCCTTTTTTGCTTTTGCTCATTGCTGGTGTGTAAAATCGCCGTCTTTCTGGCTCATTAACTTGGCCTTTGATCACTCAGCACAGAACATTCGGCACGAGGATTGATAATTATCTTGCAATTAAGGGTTAAACTCAAAGTAAACCTCAGACGTTCGGCTCTGACTTTGCTGTTTTTGCTGCATTATTCAGCTGCCCAGTTTTAGATATGAGCAACACTTTTCTGTTTCTGTGCAGCAGAGGGAAAACAGAGTGGATGTAATTACACTGCTGCTGGATGTTGCTTCAGATGAACAAAGGAAGGTGGTCAACGCAAAGGGAAAGAGGGTTGAATATGATCAAACTGTGGTCAGACGTGTTTTGTGCATTGTTCCCCCTCCCCTCATACACACTCCCACCATGTCCTCTACCATAATTGAGTGTTTAAAAATAGAGTCTTTGGTTTCCTTCTAATTGCTCCGTTTAACCCAAAGCCTCTTCGGTCTCCTCTCTGTTCCATCCAGCCAATAAGCACAAGCCATGGATCGAGACAGAGTACCAGGGGATTGTTATGGAGAACGACAACACCGTCCTGCTCAACCCCCCTCTTTTTGCCCTGGACAAAGATGCCCCACTTCACTATGCTGGTAACTGCAATGAGCACTAAGAGGGCTATAAAGCCCAATGTTCAAAATTATTTGCGCTGAAGTCTTTTTTTTTTTTTTTTTGGCTGCTACAAAGAAAAATAAAATGGGTCAAATCATTTGCTCGTCATTTCAAACTGAAGCTCGTCTCCGCAAATGAGACAGAAAACCATCCAACTTTTATTTTGCAGACGGAGCGATGCTGCAGTCATGTGACCACTCGGAGGTTTATTCCTGTTTGTTTTGCACGCTCGGGCTTTTAATAGTAAATAATGCATGCATTTTTCAGCAATGAGGCTGGAGCTATTTCCCTAAAGACCACCTAAATATAAAGGCAAATGTGTTCAGACACAGAGTGCACTATTTTTAGACTGTCATAGTGTAATTGAACCTCACTTTGCAGGAGCAATCAGCAGTGCTCTGTGCAGTGTGATGAAATAAGGTGATCATGTTTGCCCTCAGAGTCCTGGAAATAACCGTGTTCAGTCAAATTACAAAAAAAAAAATCTACTTCAGTTACTCAAAGATTTCCTCGTATATATTGAACCCGTGTCAAGAAAGAAGAGGAAATTACCTGTTAGAACACGAACCTTTGACTTATGTCAGCCGATAAAGATCAGCTGCTATTCCAAGGATTTTTATTTGAGGTACTTCTGCAGTCTTCTTCCCCCCACTTATTCAATTTTGATGGTAACAGACCATTTGAGTTCAAGTGGTACATAAAATAAAGTCCAGATATCAGTATTACAGCGGGTTCTTACAGTTTTAGAGCTGAGACGTAACATTTAGTATTTCTACTGCCTAAATGCAGACATTTGAGTTGGCAAAATGAGTCGGAATGAACACAGGCTGCAGTGCAGAAAATGTGAATGTATTGATCTTTGCTGTAATTGAGATTTGTGATAAAATGAGTTTGTAAAAACACCATCTAGCAATCAAATACCTAAAAAAGCAATCCTCCTAATCTACCTTTACATCAAAGTTTTATGTCTTAAGAATCCTTTTAATTTCATTTGAAACTGACCATTTTTCTCTGGATTGATTGATCTGATTTGATTATTTTTATTTTTAAGACACTCCACACTAGGGTTGGGCAGTATTGGCAAAAAAATTAGTCACGATTAATTGCGGTATTTAGCCGATAACAATTAATTTGACGATTAATCCCCTGGAGTCCCTGGACACCCTTATTTCGTAGTCATATGACCAAATAGTGGGAAAGATTTGCTCTTTGTAAAAAATTGTTCCAAATTGTGTGAAAATTACAGATTTCAGGCTATACATCAATTGTGTTGATAGATAAATAAATTACAGAACTTTATTTTTAATGTTCATCATATTTGAAGCGGAGAGGAGCACCGAGCGGACTGACCGGAGTAATCCCCTGTCAGTCTGCCTGGTGGCAGTAATCATATTAAACGTCAAGTGCCAAAAAGTAATCGATTAATGTTTTTCTGACGAATAATTGCACACGATACGATTATGCCCAACCCTACTCCACACATAGAACAAACTTAACAAGATGGCTACATTCATATCACAAGCCACACATAAATATCATTACAATCTGAAACTCAACTGGGATACAACGCATGTTCTCTTCTTTCCCAGGCTTTACGATCAAAAGCAACAAACGCCCCTGGAAATCCTTCCGTATAAAGTTTAACACCTTTATAAGATTTAGAGATTCCTCTTTTTAAATATATAACTGGATTTCCCAATGACATCATTTGGCACCAATGACACCAGCATTTTCTTGTTGCTAAGCCAGATGATGTACTGTATTGCTACATTTCAGCAAACGTTAAAGCTTTTGAAATAAAAAAAATGGAAATAACAACTCAGTATTGTACAATTTTACATTGTGACTCATTTTGCCAACATTTTCTTATTTTTAGTTTGCATCATGTAACATAATTCAGTCATTTGCAAATAAATTAAAACATCTGTTACGTTAAAGGAAAATAAGATAGCAACTTAACTACTACTACTATTTTATTTATAAAGCTCTTTAAAAACAACCACAACAACCACAAAGTGCTGTACTTGTAAAATCTAGGAAACATAAAGCATAAATACAATTAAAACTGTTACAGCACCTTTGTAAAATGATTCAAAATTCAAATATTGTTTTTTTATACAGTATATGCTGTATTATGATTGTGTTACTTTGAACTGTATCTGTTAAAAACCCGGCTATTTCATAAAAAAATTGCAAAATAATTTCTGGATTGCACCTTCACACTGAAATAACAATTATAAAATCTAACTTTTTATCCGTTGGTCTAAGGTAAAAGGTCTGCAGAATCATAGTTTGAAATTCCTTTTGGAAACCAAAGACGCTGCTTCCTCTGGGCTGAATGGGATGAAGACCATCTGGGTTCTTATCTGTGCTCTAAAACTGGAATTTGAGCTTGTATTGAGGTCATTAGAGCACATGTTGTGGACAGCTTGTGCTTCTTTGTCAACATCAACACTGAACGGCGTTTTCAGGTCAGGGATCAGCATATGTTGCCATTCAGACAGCGTAATTTTTAGGACAAAAAGATTTGCTTTATTTCTGTTGGACAGTCTAAAAAAATAAAAGCATTTTGCTCATGTTACCTGGCACTGAGATATTCAGGTGCTAAATGGTTTTACCTATAGTCCAAAAATCTTAAAAGAAGTTAAAGTTCATTCTCTCTATTTTTGTTAACAATTTTCTAATCATGTCACAGTTATCAGGAAGCTAATTGTGACACAAAAAGAGAGAAAAACTAATTAGTTGAACACACAAAGAATGTTAGAAAGGCTAAAAGGTCAATTTAAACTAAAATGTTTTCTTGAATTCTCTTTCAGTTTCTGTCTATTTAGGGGTTTTTCCAACAGAGGTATTTAGTACCTTAATATTTCTGTTGAAAACATGATTGCCTGTTTGAACCAGCCCTTTGGAGCGCTTTAAAGAGCCAAGAGAAATGAGGCTCATTAGTCAGAAGGAAGGAGGCCAGTTTAAAGCTGTTCAAATAAATAAAAAGGTCAAAGTAGGTGTTTCAATAATCAGTGCAAAAGAAAAAAACTCCAAGCTGTAAAAGATTTTTATTATCCGAGTCTAAAGTAATTTTAAAAGTTTTACCTCTTAAATTGAGTGTTTTTGTATAATAATATGTTACAGCTGTCTCACACAATATCTCTCTCTCTCAGGTGAAATCTGCGGTTTTCGGGTTCACAATGGCCCCTTGGGTTCAGGATCAGTCCAGTTCGAAGCCGTGGTTCTGGACCGCTCCACCGGTGAGGGTCTGGTCCGGTCCAAAGAGCCGCTGGACTGCGAGAGCCAGCGTGAGCACAGCTTCACCATCCAGGCCTACGACTGCGGCGAAGGACCTGATGGAGTCAACAGCAAGAAATCCCACAAGTTAGATCTTTTTACTCACAGTTTGAAAATGAGGTTTTTAATGGTTTCACATTCTGTGTGCTGTACAAACTACTCAGCCGTCACAGCTTCCTGTTGCTACAATAATCTGTGCCTCTCTGCTTGTGTTCGACCTCCCACTCCTCCTCCCCTCAGGGCCACCGTGCACGTTCGTGTAAACGACGTCAACGAGTTCTCCCCCGTGTTTGTCGAGCGTCGCTACGAGGCTTCAGTCCCAGAGGGGCGTCTGTTTGACCGGATTGTACGCGTGGAGGCTCTGGATGCCGACTGCTCCCCGCAGTACAGCCAGATCTGCTTCTATGACATCATCACTCCCAATGTGCCCTTCGCTATTGACAACGACGGTGAGATGAGATGAGCTTTATGTCGCACTTTTAAATTAGAGACTGCAGTGCTAACAAACAAGTAACAAGCACATTTAAATGCCTTTCACCAAATATGTTTGTATTTATTTTATGTTTGTTTGTTAAATTTGGTTCCGCTCTGTGATGCGAAGCACATGAAAATCAGCAGCAGCCACTGCTGAGACACTGATGTCTGTTTAGGGAACAATTTTAAAAGAATTGCAGGGAACTAAAACTGCTCTCAGGTAAACATAAAGATGTTAAAATAGAATTTGTGTGGGCGGACTTTTGCTCTGCTTCTGCAACCACTGTTTGGTTTAATATGCTCGCTGTTGACTTATTTTTGGGGGGGAAATAAGTGGATGTTTACAATCACTGGACTCCTTGTTGGGAGATCAGTTGTGACCTGTTTGTAACAGCAGCTGAAATGGACCCAGCTTCAACATGACTCTGCAGAATTTTCCAGAACTGAAAGGTCTCTGCAGAAGCTTCTTTCTGTTTTATCCAGACAGCAGCTCTGAGACCTTTTGTTCCTCAGATGCTGTCTGCTTTTTGTTGACTGTTTACTTTGTTGTTGTTTTTTTTCTGCTTCTACCGCTCCCTTTGTTTTTTCCTTCTCATCTTGTCAAAGCATCTTCTCCTCCTGCCTGCTGTTCATCAGCTGGCATTCTGGGTGCTGTCAGCCCTTCACAGATACTGTTGTGTTTATTCATCTTTATCTTTAAAAACAGGAAAACCCTTTCGTTTTTCAGAGTTATTTATCTTACTCTGTTTTTCTTGTTTCCCTCCTATGAACACTAAGTACTAAACCCGGTTGTGGCTCCATTAATACGTTTGTGGAGCTGCTGAAGGTGTGCTTTTAGTTGTGTTGGGTTTTCAATCATTCCAGGTTGCTGTTGTTGACTAACCTTCTATTTCGGTTTGTCTCATTATGTCWTGTTCTCCGTTTCTTTTAATGCTCTGTCTCCTAGGTAACATTAAGAACACTGAGCCTTTGGATTCAAAGCGGCAGCGCGTTCACACTTTCTGGGTGACCGCCTTCGACTGTGGGAAGAATCGCGCTCAGGCTGAYGCCCAGGTTGTCGTCACGGTCAAGCCGTCCTGCAAACCCGGCTGGATCGGTAATCATTATCACAGATAGCTTTCCTCCTGTCCTGAAATAACCCAGCCACACGTTATTGCTTTAGTCGTTTCATTCAGTGTTTTTGATACTTGCAGTTATAAAATGTGWGGGCAGTCGTTCAGTTTGGTGCATTTTTTATATCAACAAATCTAAAGAATTGGGGCTGGAGCTTCAGTGTGAGACAATTAATTGATTATATTTGTGTTGTCATTATAACTTTTTTTGTTGTTTTATCAGCAATGTTTGTACTGAAACCTTTCGTAGTCAGGGTCAGAACTCCCTGTTTCTGTTAGTCTGTGAGGCAACCAGTTGGGAACCTCTGGTTTAGATTATAACCTCATCTTCCTAAAATAATTGTCAARATTTGGAAAAATGTATGTTTTTATCCTAAATCATCTCCTCGTTGTGCTGGCCACCTGTGGTAAAACCATCTACACCAGGGCTATTCAACTAAATCACTCCAGGGGCCACAGTTACTGCAGGYCAACAGCTGAGGGACCGAACATCCAGCAATTAAAGTCATTATGTARATAAACCAAGTATTACAAAGATCTGTTACCTTTGAAATAGTTTATTTTGCTGCATTTAATCATGAATACAACATACAGAACCCTATAAAAGTARTGWTAATTAAACAATATCAAAAACAAAAAGAACACATTATGCCTCCTATTTRACAYAAATAWTATTTTGACATCTCTGACTTGCCAAATTTTTAAACCAATTTTATTTTCACTTTCATAGTTTAATCTTCAACTGCTTGTAGTTTTAACAGCTTCTAGCCAAGATTCAGATGTTTCTGTAGATACCAAACATGTCTATGTTTAACTAAAACAACTTAGAGTAATTAAAGTAGAAAACCGGCAGTTTGGGCTTAAGAGATGAATGAACCAGTTGGTGGGCCAGACTTTGGTCACGGGTAGGCCGGATGTGGCCCGCGGGCCGCCAGTTGAATAGCCTTGATCTACACGCTCAGTTGATCAAATGATTTGATTCTATCACTTTAAGATGATGGCCTATGTCAAGAGTCTGATTTAAGCTGATTTAATWTGCGTGGGATTCTTGTATGTTAAATTTTCATTTCAGGTTTTTTGGATTTCCTGAAAAWCGTGAAAAAATTGAGTTGGACAATTATTTTAGGAAGGTGTCGGTAAAAAGATGGTGTTAAAGCAAAGTAAATAAAAATCAAAGAAATTAGACCATTGATTAAA